GGGGGGATCTGATTGCTTATCACCGGAAAGCAGATGTTCAAAATAGAAGAGAAGAGAGAGTACAGGTTTAGTGTGGAATACCGTATAATTGTGTATATACCATACTTGCAAGTGCACGCTGTGCGGGCGGTTCCCTACGTGCGGCACACGCGCCCAACTGATCCCGTGCGGTGCGCGATGTGTGCGGAGAACGACCCGTCACCGCCCTCAGAAAAAAAAAAGAAGGCCGGGGCCCCCCGCTTAATTATAAACGAGATGCAAAAAAAAAAATACAGGAGTACTGCCTCACCTTGCTCCTCCTCCCCTTCCTCGTCCTCCATGTCTCCTCCTCCCTTCTCCTTTTCGTCTCCTCCTCCTCCTCCTGTTCGTCCTCCCCCTCCTGCCCTTCCTGATCCTCCTTGTCTCTTCCTCCTCCTCGTACTTCCTCATCTTCCATGCCTCCTCGTCTCCTTCCCTTCCTAGTGTCCTCCCCTTCCTCACCGTCCATGTCTCCTCCTCCTGCCCTTCCTCTTTTCCCTCCGTCCATCTCTTCTCCTCCCCCATCTCGACTCCTCCTCCTAGTCGTCCTCGCTATCCTCGTCGTCCTCCTCGTCCACATCCTCCTCGTCCTCCTCTCCATATCCCCCTCTCCTCGCCATATCCCCATCTTCCTGTCATACGCCCCCCCGTTCCCCCTCCCAAAAAGAGAGAAAATAATCTATCTATCTATCTATCTATCTACTAATACTTAAAGTGAAAAGCGGTCCTCGGAAGACGCTTCCCCTGGCCCCAGGGAAAAGGAGTCCCGCACGGCGGTTGGATGGGACAGACATTTTTTTTCGGTCGGGTGTTTTATTGTCGGGTCTGGGCCGGGTCGCGGGTTCGAGGCTGTAGGCTGTGTTGTTTTTTTTTTTTTGGGCCGCCTGGAAGGGAGCGCGTTCGAGGCTGCAGCGAGTTCATGTTTTCACAGTGTTTTGTCTGACGGCCGATTTTTTGTGTTCCCGTCCACTGCTTTAACGTTGCCGCAATGCTTTTCCCGGGTTGTCACTGCATCGACTTGCGTGTTTGGCGTGGCGTGTGTTGTCGAACTCATCGTGTATTGTTGCATCGTGACTTGCTCGTGCGTTTGTCATGCGTTGTGGATCTGATACTGATCGTGCGCCGCGCGTGTGAAAGTGATCGCATGTTCGGATGCTGGTGTGTGAGGGAGAAAGAGGAAGATGATCATTGGCTACGAAAGTGGGCCGGATCATCTACAGTGAACACGTGCTGGTGTGTG